TTCTTAAGTGCAACCTGACTCCCAAAAGGCCCAGGGCTGTGTAAGCACCAGGCAGCCTACTCATGAGAAGTTTAAGGTCAGTGATGGAAGAGAGGCAGGCAAATGAAACAGCTTCCCCATCGATCAAAACAGGAGGCGGTCAATCGCCAGTGCTACAGCTCGCTTGCCTGGTATATGCAGAGCCCTGGCTTCACATAAACAAACTGGCACTGGAGAGACAACTTGGTCGTTAAGAGTAAGGCCTGTTCTTCCAGAGGACCGGGGTTCGATTCCCAGCAACCCTATGACAACTGACAATTGTCTGTAACTCTTCAAGCACCTGGTACACATGTTGCACACACACACCTGAGGACAAAACACTCATACACATAAAAATAATAAATCATTTTTTTTAAAAAAAAAAAGAACAGCCTATAAGCAACAAACCAAAGTAACAGAATTCTAGCATGGAAAAAGAATGAGTTGAATGTGGTGACAAACATTGGTTATTCCAGCACTCTGGAAAGAGAAAGAAGGATGGGGAATATAGGAAACCCTGGTTCAAAAACAAAAAAAAAGAAAAGAAAAGAAAGAAGAAAAAAGAAAAAAAAAAGTCTGGGTGTGGTAACCCAGGCCCTGAATCTAGCACTTGGGAGGAACAGACAGGTAGATTTTTGCCAGCGTGAAGCCAATCAATTATACATAGAGACCGAGGACAGCCAGGGCTACAGAAAGACACTATCTAACAAAATAAAATAAAATAAACAGAAAAGTAAAAGACTTAATAAGGCCATAGGCTAAGAGTGTAGATCGGGCAGGGGAGAGCATTTGGCTAGCATGCCTGATTCCCTGGGCTGGATTCCCCAGAACAGTAGGGAAAGAAAAAAAGAAAAGGATGGAAAGAGGGGAGGAAGGAGGGAGAGCCGGCTAGAAGGAAGGGACACGTGGGCTCCAAGCCAGTGTTTTTTCTCTTAAAAATAGGTGCAGGGAAGGCCCATCACCATCTTTGTCCTGCTGAAGCTCCTGCCCTGAACACCCCTAACGGAGAGGCTGGTGCTCAGAGCGAGAGCACCTAGAAGAGAGAAGCATTAGTGATACCGAGAGACACATTAGGAATATGAAGGGAGCTCCAGCTTCCTCCTGCTGTAAAGTCACCAGTAATTCAATTCAGGACACAGTGCTAGAATGATTCTGGTCACAAAGCCAAGCAGGATGCATGGATAAAGCCGGTTTGCTAATGATCATAGACTCTGCCTGCACCTTCCCACCTCACCCCTTCCCACCTCGCCCCTTCCAACCTCTCCCCATCCAAGGGGAGAGGCCCCAATGGACCCCTTCCAAGAGAACTCTTCTGGCATTGAACCCTTTTTCTTATCTCAGCCGGCTGTGCGTGACAGCAAAGACAGGCAGCTGAACAGAGGTATCTCCTCAAAAGCAACTGCTTCTGCAGGTACCCGAGCCGGGTGTGCAGGCAGGGCACACTGGGCTTCCCGCTCAAGGCCAAGGGCCAGCTTTTAGATTACTCTTCACATCACTATTTTCTGACTTCCTGAAAGGAGCCAAATGGCCCTGATCTAAATCCCATTTGTTTTGCTATCGCCTAGCGGCAAGGTCTAGGGTGACACCGTTAGCCCCCAGCTGTGTTCCGATTCTAAAAACTGATGATGGTAATAATCCTATTTAACATGATTGCATTTAAAAGCAGCCTGAATATGGTGAGATACACATTGGTATGATTCCAGTGGTAGGAGGCCGAGGCAGACAAGATGCTAGTTCAAGGCCAGCCTAAGCTAACACAAACACACACACAACCTTACCCATAAAAAGAACTCCACGAGGGCTGCACACTCTCGTCACTACTTTGCAAAGTTGTGGACAACACAAAGTCAAAGAATAAGTTTAGCATACTAAAGAAACTGAAAGTCACTGCCACGCTATTGTCCTTGTTCCTATTCGTTACTATGACTACATATTGTTCCTGAGATCACTTGGTGTCAGAAAAGCAAATCAGACAGCCAGGTCACTACCAAAGAACTCAGGTGCTCTCCAGCCATACAGCCCCAAATCCCACCCACCTACGACCTGATCTCCAAAGTTGTTCCACGTGGCTAGGTATGGGTAGTACCCTGCTAGCAGAACAAAGAACTCTGTAGCAGCCTTCTACAAGACATGGAACTTCGGATACTTTCTAGAAAGATGCCAGCATGATTTGTCACCAGGACTTCACGGACACTAATCTGTTTTTATTTTGTTTTCATTTTCTGATACTTAAATTCCCGGACAAGCTTCACACTGGAATTCAAGCAGGCCTATAGCCAAAGCTGGCTTTGAACTCATAGTAATCCTCCTGCTTCAATTTCTCATATGCTAGGATTATAGGCACGAGTCACCACACCTGGCTTCAAAGGCTAGTCTTTTAAAAATGTATGTGTGTGTATGTATGTAGAGAGACCGCATGATTTAGAGAATATGCCGAAGCATGCCTGGAAAGGTCAAAGGACAAGGCCGGGAAGTCTGTTCTCTTCTTCCACCGTGGGTTTCAGTAGGTCATCCAACTTGCCAGGAAAGCACTTGTACCCATAGAGCTGGTTCCACTGCCTGGGTACTCTTATTTCAGATTGTTCTGCTCCCGTTTGTGAGTCAATATGCCAACACAGATGTGAGACATACCATGGAAGATAAATCTCAGTCTCTTCGTGACCTCCCAAACTGACATTAGGAAGGAAGATGGGGCAGGGGTTGGGGGTTCAGCAGGGTGGAGAATGTTATATCTTCACTTAACTAGAGAAGGAAAAGGCCATGTGGTATTAAAACACATCCAAGTATAGCCATTTGCTGGCTTTCAGTTAGTCTAAGGAACAGGGACCACACTGCCCATTTGCATGCCCATGTGAATGGGGCAAACATCACAAAACCTTACCCTGAGATGGGGAGTTAATGGCTGCTGACGGAGGAAGAATTGGTTTTCTCCATGGATGAGTCCCTACTAGGTTACCCAATCCCACGAAGTCAGCTCTAAACACATGTGCACACAAGCAATATTATAGGGACTCTGCAGGCTATATTTATATGTGTGTGTACATATATATATATATAGATAGATAGATAGATAGATAGATAATTTTTAAAATTTATGCATTTAAGAGGGAGCTAGGGATGTATATATATAGAGAGAGAAAGAACGAGAGAGAGTGTGTACAAGCCCTCAATATCCCCAGAAAAGCCCTGATATGAACAAATTCAGGGCTACTCACATGGAAGGGAAGGGAATTGTGTTCCAAGAGAGTCAACAGCTGAGGTACCTAAGGACAGCACCTAGATCAGGCAGACTACAGGTCCCAGGCATGGCAAGCATAGGCCTCAGAAACCAGACAGGCTGCCTGCCAGCCATCCACGTTAAAAGAAGACAAGACCAGAATCCATGGAGATGCTCAGAATTCTGCAGACTTTCAGAGGACCAGTCCCACAAATCCCCAGAAACGTCAGAAACAAGAGAGGACCCTTCCAGCTCTGAAAGCTGCTGCCACAGGAGCAGAGCAAGATGAGTCAGTGGAGTGGTGGTTGTTAAAAAGAGAAGAAAATAAACCAAAGAAAGAATGAAATCGATTCCTTTTTTTCTACTTTTCAAGAGCAACTGGTTTATGCAAAATTCTGCACTCAAGGCAGGGACAGCAGGAGAATGCAACCACCCTGAACCAGGCAGAACAAGGCAGTCCCATTACCCGTTATTCCCAGACAGTTGGGGGAGGAGGGTGGTCCCCAGCATGATAGCCCACAATGCCCTAACCCAGTCCTGACGTCTCACCAAATCCACCATGAACCCAGTGGAGCCTGGAAGGCACAAGCAACATCTTCACCTCCAAGATGTAACCACCATATTTCCAACCTTGGAGAGCAGGCCACGAGGTTTTCCCCAGTCATGGATTCCATTTGTCCTTCTGCTTTCATGACAGTTTGGCTCCTGATAAATCTTGGAGGAAATCCCACTCGGAGTTCCGAGTTCCAAGGATGGAACACAAACCCGTTCCCACCGACTGGCTGGAGCTGTAGAAGGACTAGCTATGACCACAGGACCGTGGCAAGTGAACAAGCCCCAACTTGTCACTGCCCATATGCAAAACAGGCGTGCAACATCCTACCACATGCAGGGCAACATACAGAAGACTGGATCCTTGGCCCTTCCAAACACACACACAGGCACACACTCTGCCATGGCTTTCTCTAGGCCAATTGACAACAGCCCCTCAAAAACACAAGAGCAGAAAGAAAACAGAAACCTCACTCTCTTGTCCCTACACCCTCTTAAGTGGTTTTTCTCTCCTTAATCTTCTAGAATATCCTGAAGTCAAGAGCTTAAAAGAATAGACTAAGGCAGGCTTGAAACCTAGAAAAAAAAATCCATGATATGTCCACACAAGGGCACATGTAGCTTCATGGCTGCGCTTCCTGGAAGTCTGCGCCGCTCTCCCACACCACACTGTGGGTGCAGAGCATAAAATAGTAGCCAAGGAAGGGCCCATCTAGTTAAATCAGCTGCCCATCCAGAGAGAATTAGCATGCTGAGGGTGTAGGGGTCTTGAACAGACACAGGAATGAAGTACAAACACAGGGAAAGTTTCCTGACGCAGTTTGGGAGTTTTAGATCACCTTCTTTCTGCCCTGAGGGGCTGTCTCGGAGGAGGGCTGGCCAAGGATGGAGGGAGCATCACTCAGACTTCCAGTTTCGCAAATGAGGCCTTCAAACCACATCAGCGGCCCCAAATCAGCGCTGATTGCAGGGGGGCGTCTCTTTTTAGCCATGAGGAAATGGGCTTTTGATCAAGTGCATAAATCCAGAACTATCTCTATGCAAGGGCCATTCTGTGTAACCTCCCCCGCACCCACACCCCTCACCCCAACCCAAACTCTCTGGCGGTCTCGAGTCTAGTGATGAGGAAAAGTGAATCCAAAAGCCCTTTTCTTCTATCCAGACTGTACATCCCCAGGCTCGAGAGTTTCCTGGGGATAAACTTGGAACTTACGGGAGGGTGGATTCAGCCATGACTCCCAGGTCACCCGGACTGCCAACATCCTTTCCGCGTGGATATCCACTCGAGGGGCTTTGGGGGTACTGGGTCGGATCCTGGTTCGCAGCTCCTCTTCATCCCGGCCTTGCCGAGCCCGCTCGACCAGCGGGTCCATGTGCTCGGCGGCCGCACGCGCTCTGCCCGGTGGAGCGCGGGGCTGGCGGGTGGCCCGTGACGTCACGGCGGCTCGCTCCCGACCGCGGGGGAGGGGGAGAAGCGCGCGCCACCGCCACCGGGCGAGCCGCGTGTGTCCTGGGTCTTCTGGTGCCTGAAGGTCCCCGGCCTGCGGGGTCCTGCTCACCCCTCTGCTTGCTATCCCAGAAAACGAAGGCACCACGCCTGAAAGGAGGACCCAACCGAGGCGGCATGCCACTAAGGCTGCCTAGTGCCCAGATGGCTCTAATAGAGAACACACTCTGTCCGCCCTGGGCTGGGGGTTCTGGGGGTTCTGGCCACACTCATACCCTGGTCTCACGCAGCCAGCGGGTACTTTCAGGCGATGTCAGGCGGCTTCCCTCCCACTGTTCCTCTCTAGAGCAGACACCCCATCCCCCTTCACCTTGACCACTAGCAATCTTCCTACTTTTCAGATAGAAAAGGAAATTCCTGTTAATTAAAAGGACCAAGTTGCTTGGAAATGAAGTTACCAGTTCCAATAGAAGACCCCTGAATCTGTTCTATCCCATAACCTGCGAGCAACCCTGGGAACCACCATCCGCAGGTCTGTCGAGAAGGACGCACTCACGTACTAAGCGAACCTGAGCTGAGAGAGGACCACTTGTCTATGCAGCATCCTCCACTCTTTGCCCACACAGGGCATTAAACTAACCTCTGGGATGCCCAAACGCCTCTCCAAAGAAAGAAGGCTGGTGTGGGTGGCACGCATGTACTTTGTTTTCTCTTTATTAAATCTGGGACTGAACGGGTACAAGATACTACTACCATTCAGCCCAGAATGGTACCCTGCTACAACCGGGGAGGGGAATGACACATGAGATAGATGCAGACCGTAGACGGAAACCTGAGTCCAGTGAAAAGCGGTAAGCGTGACTATATGATACCATTAGCTGTGGAAAGGAATAAGGGCCCACTCTCCACCCAGTACAGAACATTTCACATTACTCCAACCTCTTAGAGAGTCTTTGTCGCCTCTGCTCCTCTAGGATGCCTTCAATCTCCTCTCTTTTCGTGGCTTCTTAGCCACACGAACATTTGTCCGTTGAAAAGAAAATTCATCGTTCTCGCGTGCCCCAGCGCGATATGCGCGAATAATCGCGCTGGGACGGCTTCATTTCAACTCTGCGCGGCTGAACAGATCCCTGGGTTAAGGTTATCCACTGCATCCGCTAGAGAACGAAGATGGTCCTGAAATTCAGTGTCTACACAGGGTGCTTGCTGTAGGCACTTTCAATGCTTCCAGCATTTACCAAGCAACCTGCTGCGACGTTGGGAAGCTGTAACCACAGGCTCTGAGGCCCAGTTTTCAAAGGCAATGTCAGTACCAAATCCTGCAGATGCTGCCTGGACCTTCCGTTAGTCCTGTACACTAGAGACCCTCAGGACTGAAGACCTTCACCCAGGCTGATTCACCTTTGATCTTGAACCCATTTGCTCTTCTCTAGACTGAATTCTGCTGTGCTAATCTTAGACTCCTATTTTTTGTCTTTTATAAAGTTCCTTTTATGGAACTTTATCTTAAATTTTTTTTCCTAGTAGAATTTCACAGAAGAAAGTATTTTTAATAACACTACTATCCAGAACAAAAGCTGTAATGTATCTGCTTCTAATTTTGTTCTAAAGTCACTTTCAGGACAGAGATGGAGCCATAGCATGCTCAAACCCTGAGTTTGATCCCAAGCACCATATAAACCCAGGTGTGGTGGCACAGACCTGAAGACCCTGCGGAGACAGGAAGATCAGGAGTTCAAGGTTGTCTTTAGCTACGTGGACTTGGAGGCCGGGCTTGTATACATCAGGTCCTGTCTCTAAAACAAACGAATGAATAAATAAAAATTTTAAAGGAAATTTTCTTCTTACAATAGTGATGCTATATATATACTAAAATATTTAAATTACACAAAAATACAGAAAAAGTAAACTATTAGCTGGGGGTAGCTTTCAGAACATTTAACAAATTCTAGAAATTAGTTCAGGCACAGACAGACGATGTAGACATATGAACTGATGCATGGATGAGACAGATAAGGCAAAAATAACTTTATCTTTCTCTTTCATGTCATTTTCTCAAACTATTTTTAAATGCGGTGTTTATATTATTCGACTTTAATTTTTTTTTTTTTTGAGACAGGGTTTCTGTGTTGCTTTGGAGCTTGTCCTGGAACTAGCTCTTGTAGTAAACCAGGCTGGCCTTGAATTTGCAGAGATTCGCCTGCCTCTGCCTCCCAAGTGCTGGGATTAAAGGCGTGCGCCACCACCGCCTGGTTCGAATTGAATTTTTAAACACATATTTGTGTGTGTGTGTGTGTGTGTAGATGCATGCAGATGTTCTGGTCTGGAGGTGAGAGAACAACTTTGCGGAGGGAATGTTCTCTCATCCCTTCATGTGGGTAGGTCCCTGGTTTCAGATTGCCTTTCATGTTCTGAATCAGCCTATCAATTTTTTTCTTTCTTTCTTTTTTTTTTAAATAGCATCATCATGTTTTTTTTTTTTTTTTTTTTGAGACAGGGTTTCTCTGTGGCTTTGGAGCCTGTCCTGGAACTCGCTCTGTAGACCAGGCTGGTCTCGAACTCACAGAGATCCGCCTGCCTCTGCCTCCCGAGTGCTGGGATTAAAGGCGTGCACCACCATCGCCCGGCCATTTATTTGTTTTTGAGACAGGGTTTCTCTGTGTAGACCAGGCTCACCTCATACTCATAGGAGATCCTCCCGAGTGCTGGGATTAAAGGTGTGCACCACCGTAGAATTTCATTTAGCTACAAAGTGAAGGTTTTAAAACTGGGTGTGGTGGCGCACACCTTTAATCAGGTAGATCTCTGAGTTTAAGGCCAGCCTGATCTACAGAGTGAGTTCCAGGACAGGGCTATACAGGGAAACTCTGTCTTGAAGAAAACAAACAAACAAAAAATGAAGAAGAAAATTTTTGATTATATTTATATATTTATTTATGTACACAGGCCACAGAACATATGTGAAGGTGAGAGGGCGGCTTGTAGGAGTTGGAGCTCTCGTTCCAGCATGTGGGTCCCTGTGATTGAACTCATTAGACTTGGTAGCGCGTACTTAACCTGCTGAGCCACCTCAGCCATTCCCTTTCCTTCCTTCCTTCCTTCCTCCCTCCCTTCCTCCCTCCCTCCCTCGCTCCCTTTCTTCCTTCATTAGTGTTTATTAGGGTTTAAAGTCAGGACTTCATGCAGGCTGGACAGGGGCTCTATCAGTTAAAATCTTTTTAGAAGGTAAGTACACTAACGTGAAGCCAAAGGAATGGCTACATCTTAAATATCTCTTCATGACATTAAGATTAGTTTCTTAAATAATCTTCCAGGGGTTCAGAAATGTGCAGAAGGGGAGACTGGAGCCCCCTTTCCCATGGAGAGAACAGGCAGTCTCCCCCATGGCATTAGCTCTTTTCTGCTTTGCTCCTCAGCTGCCTGTGAGCTGTAATGCTGTCTCCAAGTTGCTCCCCCCCCCCCCCCCTCCATTCCATACTATAACTTCTGTGGCTGTAATGATTGGGCCTACAGTGAAAGATCCCAGCTCGGGACCAGTCCTTCCTTTTTCTACATCTGCTTCTCTGTGTAAAACCTATGTTCCACCTTCAAACAAGACTGAGCTCCTCCTCTCTTATGAGACAACAAATCCAGGTCAAGAGATAGAGGGGGATGGAGCCAGAAGGGATTAGACTCCAGTTAATCTGACTCTGAGGAGAAGAGCAGGGGAAAGGCCTGGCAGTGCAGGTGCGTAAGAACAAGGTGATCCAGCATTCAGTCAAGGCTCACTGAACAAGACAGGCCAACAGTTGCAGGCAATTTTCTGCTAGGCCGAGAACCATGCTTCGTGAGCTGCCCACCCGTCTCCCGCACCAGCTCCATGAACCTGGGTGGCTCCATGAGCGGGTGAATGACTCATGGGAGATCAGAAAGGAACGGCTTGGGACCAGATGTGGAAGCAGTCAGGGAGGCCTGCACTTGGCAAAAGCTGAAAAGAGGGGAGGGGCCTGTGCTGAAACCTGGAAAATGAAATTGAGTTTGTCTGTTTGCCAGAGAGGCATTTGAGCAAAGAGAACAAACTGTCAAGAATCGTAAACTAGAGTACAGAGTCCCTAGGAAAGGTCAGAGGAGAGAAGGTTAAGCTGGATCCAAGAGGCCTTGTATTCCATGCTCAGTGTTTCACCTTTGCCTTGTAGCTCTTATGAGAAGTCCTGGGACAGGAGGTATCCTGCCCATTAGAGACATTGTCCAGCTTGTCTTGCAAGGAATGAATGAATTTCAATACAGTCTGATCAGAAGAGTCCAGCCAGGAGGTAGCGGTAGATGGCTGGACTAGAAAGGGCACCTTGGGGATAGAGAGAAGTACTGGACGTGGAGTGGAGAACAGAACTACCGGATAAACAAGGATAAGGAAGTGAAGGGAGGAGCAGGGATTAGAACCAGGTTCTGCATCTCAGCAACCAGGGATTGGGACTGGTCATTTAGAGGTGAAACAAGAGAGGAAAATGCATCTGTGAGTAGACAGTGGGAGTCCTTGTCTCTGAGCTATTAATAGTTGATAGCATATCATCAGGTAGCTAGCCTCAGTGTCCCTAGTGCATGGGAGGAGTCTCAGGAGAAAATATAATCTTTCTAGTTTGGGCAATCTTGTTATCTAGCACAGGTTAGCCTAGAACTCCCTTTCCAGGTACTAACGAGATGCCACCCTGCTAAGCTTCCAACATCAGATGAGGTTGGTGTGTTCGGGGTTGTGTGACCATAAACTGTCATTGAACTCTTCACGCTCCTGCCTCAGCCTCCACAGTGCTGGGATTATAGTCATGCGACACCATTTCAAGCAAGATACTCATTCAGTAGTAGTTTACACGTTGAGCAGTAGTTAGCACACCCAGCTCAGAAGAGTGTTTGAAGTGAAAGGAGGAAAAATTCTTTTTTTGGTTTTTAGAGACAGGGTTTCTCTATCGCTTTGGAGCCTGTCCTCCCGAGTGC